CTGCTGTGATATGCTCTAGTTTTATTCCTGCTTTTTTCCATCTGGGGAAGAGGGGGAGAGAAAGATGAAAAGGTAAAATTAATTTGTTTCCTTGATAAGGCAGTTAAGAAGCACGTTGGCCCCTCTGAGCATTTCAATAGCTTATCCCCTTTTCTAATGTTTCTGAGAGGAGAATGAAAGCTGAATGCTCAAAACTGCCAGCACATCCACATCCTCTTCTTTGAAAATTGAAAACTGAGACTAATTATAATGGCTTGCACAGTCCAGTTATGTTGCTGATCTAATCAGCTAACATCAGGAGAAGCGCTGAATAAATCTGCACAATGGCTGGGACACAGAGTCAATTTCTCCCTGGCCCAGCACATTTAAAGCATGCTTATCAGCTGCATGACATCCAAAAAAAAGACGCTGGCTGCAAAAAGTTTTTTGAATCTTCCCCTCTCATTTCTCTATCCACATCCCAAAGGAAGAAGCCTTTAATTTACAAAATATATTTTTTTTTCCTGGTCCAGGCACACCCTCTTGAAATAAAGCAAACATAAGCACTCGGGTTTCATTAGTTAGTGATTAAATATGTTATGAGACAGAAAATTGGCAGAGAAAGTAAGGCTGGTTTGTTCGTGTTGGTCTTACTGTTGGCTCTTTGTGCACGCTCTGAGTGGCAGGCCTCTGTAAACTGAGCTCAACACTTGTGGGGTCCTTCTTCAACTCTGCCGGGGGCCTGTCCCCTCTGGCTACTCCGTCAAATTTCAGAGATCTGCTTGGCGAAGGAGTAAATATTACTGTTGTACACTCCTTATCCTTCTCTTCCACACCGTTGACATTTTCGCCATTCATGCTGACTTTTCCATCTACCTGTAGAATACAGTTAAATAAATATGCTGAGGCAATTAGCATTCAAAGGAATTTAGGAAATTAGGACTTTGACATGATATTACAATTGTTAACACAGTCTGTGCCATCAGTGAAGGACACAGCCAAGCACACGCTTCATTCAACAGGCCAACATAGAAGAAAACCCTGTTCCAGGGGGGTCATAAACTAAATACAGACAGAAGATAATAATTTTTCTGGATTCCCTGGTTTCACACATTTCGTTCTCCCAGTAACATACAGACACCCTTTGTGTGCATCACAGATAAATGGATTTTAAAAGAACAACAAAAATTTATGTTAAATTTAGACCAAAACTGCTGGGTTTTGCATTGCTTCATGCAAGAGGCAAGCAGGTTCTCCAGGACTAATTATGCTGATGAACTGCTACGTACCCTGACGACCTCACCACAGTATTAGTAGACCGTGCTTTCTGAAGCACTGTCATGTGAACTTTGAAGGGTCAGGAGCAGCAGAGTTCATAACAGGGAAGCAAGGAACCAACAAATAAAACTGGGCATTCCACCTTCTCCATGAGACGATAAAATAAATAGTTGCTTTCCCAGAAAATGATTTTATGCAGTCTCCATGAAAAGGAGAACGCAGAAACAGTTTAACTACTTTGTTCTCAGGGTCAAGCTAGCTCCTTGGTGGGCATATATTCCCGCTAAGGAATCCTTAAGCAAGGAAGAAAATACAAAATAAGCTCTAGTTTCTTCCTCTGCTCTGACACAGCTTCCTCTCAGGACTTTAATACTTCGTAATTATGTTCTGAATGGAGGTGGCATGTAAACTCTTCCTTCAATTTGGAGGGCTGTTTGTAGAAGCCATGGTATACATGAAAAAAATCTTGCTACAAAAAACTCACAAGCCATTCACCATAAGAGGGCCCAGCTGCAGAGAGACCAGGAGAGGACCAGGTATCAGGAAACCATATTGCTCCTGCCTAGCTACAGCACAGATGTTTATAGGCTTGACAGCAAGGGTGAGTTTTAAATAGACTTGAAGCAGGGCTTTGCTACTCTGTGCACAGAGATCCTTCCTTGCAAAACAGTCATCATGGGAGACAATGCGAAGGTGAGGGAGTAAATATGGACAGAGTCTTCTCTGCTAATCATTGGACTTGGGGGAAAAATAGCATAGATCAGTGATTTCTTACAGAAGCTATCTGGGATATATATGGTGATTAGTCATTTCAGGTTTCTCTACAGGTACTGCATAAACAAAAAACACATGTAAAAACAAGCTCAGAGGGTAAGCCATTCCGCAGGGACTTTTCACTTATTTCACTGTTACTGAAAACTGATGCAACAAGTGTCAAAACTGCTTTATCGAACTGAAAAACAGTTCCAAGAAAACAAAGTTCTTCCCATCTCATCCTCCCTGCCCCACTCCTTATTTCACCATTTACTTATCTTCAGTACTTTACTTCTTGAATAAACAGCTTGGATACCTCAAGAGCGGCACTCCAACTTAGTATATGCCACCAGTGCTAAGCTGAGGGCAAACTCCTCTTGTTGACTTCTTGTATATGTGCATCTAGAGGTCTGTCCTCTGTCTGAGCGTGATTAACTAAGGGGCCGTCCCCGAGGTGCTGGGCATCCTCAGCTCTGACAGACATGCGGGGAGGCGAAGGCAGTTAGCACCTCGCGCGATCAGCTCCCAGGCAGAGGAGAAACAGCCCGGCTCTGCAAGCGGTTTCACCCCTTCTGACTGCTTTTCAGATGACAAGGTTCCCTCCCTTTCCTCGCTGCCAGCATCCACTCAACACAGTACCACTCTTAGGATTTATTTCCAAACGCAAGCGTGAGCAGACACTGAGCCCCAAGTCTTCTGGGACTGTGTGCTGGATTACCTACTAGAGAGGCAGGTCATGAAAGATCTCAGAAATAAAAACGCCAGGAAAACACTGGCAGGCCGCACCATACATTTTAGTGTCTCTGTTTAGACTAAGACATTCCTCTATTTATATTAGGGAGGAAAGCGAAATGTTTGAATGATCAGGACAGATGCCCTGGCTGCAGAGTTAAACAAACATACTCCTTCCTTCTGATCTGGAGCAAGTCAAGACATTGTCACCAGAGCCGAGAATCATCGACAGACTGGTGTTTCAAAGGAAAATTATGCTACAGTTACATGTGCTAGGGAACGATTCCTACTGAGACAAATCACATTCTTCCACATCGAGTGAACAATATCTAGACAGACTTTTAGCAGTGGTTGGTGGGGGGTAGAAGCACCCACGGGTTAGTTTCTCCCCACGTCAACCATGTATGCATTAACGTGAAGGTGACACACACATATATCTTGGTCCTCTGAGGAAAAAAGTGACATGGATCAGAAAAAAACCAAAGATCCACGATTCACTGATGTCTAAAATGTAAACTCTAGGGGAATACCAACTGAGGTACAGGAGAAATAGGAACTCCCAGTTTCACATTTCAACTAGGAAACATGGTTGGGGGGGGTCCACAAGAGCTGGGACAGACTTAAAGAAATTACAGACATCACAACCCGCTTTTTCACTATCTATACAAAGCTGACTTATTTTTTAAAAAGTGAAGAACCAGAATATAAATGGTAGCAATGCTACTGGGACATCAGCAGGACTGCAGAGACCCCTGCATCCCACTAGCAAAGCATCAGATAGCAATGGCAGATACAAGGGGACCCGAACTCTACAAGCTGGGGGCACCCATGCTAGTAGGCTTCACACTGCTTACAACAAGGCTACAACGACACTTGGGGAAGCTCCAGTTTTGGTACAGGCACTGTGAGAAGCAGCTTTCTTCAAACTTGACTTATTCTGGCCTGTTCTCTCTAACACATCCCAGTTCTTTGCTTTCTCCATCATTGGTTCAGTATCTTACTCCCATTCTCCACACCTACCCAGTCCAAAGATACACTCCTCAGGTTTCCTGTCCCAGTTTCAGTCTCTTCTCCTATCCTCTTTCCCCACAATCTCATAGCTGGCTCCTTACTGCAGGCAGCCCCGCTTTCATCCAAGCTCTCTTACTTCTTTTATTCTCATGACCTTTGCACAGTTCCTGCAACCCAGTGCAGTCACTCCCCCTCTCTCACCAGCAATCCCCAGTTACACCGCTGCTCCAGTACCAATCTGTTTCCCTAAACCTGCATGGAGAGCCTATATCCCCCTCTTTATGCCAGCAAAGCAGCCTTCCCTGTTCATCCCTGGTGAGAAGCATGTTTAGGACAGAGAGTATCTTTGGGCAAGCTGGCTCTTGACTCTGAAGGAGTAGGGATGCTCCACACTGAATACATGCACACTGCAGTGTTTCAAAGGCTTACGAGTTGGCTGAATGGGACAGACTTGTTTGGGTATGGCAAAAATCAGACCCCTGACACAAAAGCCAGTTCAGGCCTTGCTCCAAAAGTCAAGGCCTCCACACTCTGTGCCCCTTCCCTTTTGTTCAAAAACAAAAAAACATGAAAATGTACTCTTTCCTAACCTCTTTCTCAGAAAATGTCTTGCTTTTTTTCTTAGAGGTCCCCCTTTCCCTGTCTTTCCCCAAACAAATTTAGCCTGAGGAAAAACGATCAGCGCAAATATTCCAGTCTGAACAGGTCAAGTTTCTAAGAAGGTTGGTAACCAAGAAGAGACCACTAGACTGGGCAGCACAGAGCATGAAGCTGAGTTTTATAACATCAGAATGCTGCAACCATTTTCTACTTAATTGCATTAAACATTTATACGTTCAGATGATTTAGTCAGGATCTCTTTGCCTCCTGATCGACTTCGGAGAGCGCAACATATCCTACCTTAAAGTTCTTTAAAACTTCCTGTGTATTTTTGGGTTGCGAGTAAGGCTTGGGTGTCAGCATAGGCACAGCCTTGGAGACAACACTTTTGCTGGGAGATGTGCGGCCCGTCGAACCGCTGGGCTCTAGTTCAGCGGTGGGAACAATAGTTGCTTCAATGGTGGCAGTGAATTTTGGAGCAGGCAGCGACTGTTGCCTTAAGTATCTCAGAGGATTTGGGTCTTTCAGTGGGGAATCTGGCTCCACTGAATGGCTTCTCTCCAGAATTTTTGGCATCTGCAAACGCTCAAGGACAGCTTCACTGATAGTGAATCTTTCGATGTACTGCTGGAGGATGGTCTCAGCCTCCTCCTGTGACTTTGCGTTCTTGTATGCCTCATGAAGTTCCCGCTCTCTTCTCTCTCTGCAAGGGAAACAACACAAGAGAGACCATCGCATTAAAAGTAACACTGGAAATCACTCCTATTTCCTCTGCTCCATCAACTACCTTCCCTCTCCCTCACCCCAGGCCTGCAGGCATGGCTGCCCGCAGTTACGTATCACCTATGGAGCACACAGCATTTTCAGACATGCCGCTGCACTTCAGTAAAAGAACGTACTTCTCTTCCACAATTTCTCGGTAGGTTTTGATGCTTTTTCTGCGCTCATTCGTTCCGTCTCCAGACAATAACCTTTCCATTTTCTTTCTCTCAGCTTCTTTTTTAATTAAATCCTGTGAAGCACTCCTTCGACGACTCTTCCACCGAGCCAGGTCCTGTGAGAGAAGGCAGGCACCTGAATGCAGAGTTGCAAATAGCTAAAAACTGGCCAAAGAAACCAATGAATCCAGCTAGCTGCTTTGCAATGCTTGTTCCTGGTGGTGGACCAGGCTCCCATCACCGCAGGCAGCGATGTTTATTTTAAAGAGTAAAGGAGATTATACCTTAAAATGAAGATGTTGCCTGACTGATTTTTCTCCTAACAGCAGTAGTGAGTCTAGTAAGGATTTCACAGCTCCACTGGTATATTTTCTTTTTGGCTTTGTAGTGTTGCAGAAGCACGCTAGGTAATAACATCAGGAAATTTAGCCTTAAAAGACGAGTCAGGGCAGTCATTTTCACTTGGGCCAACATTAGGGACAAAACCTGATTTCCCAGGAAGATGAAATAGAAAAATCATGTTTGGTGAAGAATTTTAATAATTAGATGTGCGGGAGGCAGGAGTTCACTGAAGGAAGGGACATCGTTGTTTCACCATACACTACAGCCGCACTGACAGTCTGCCTTGGAGAGCTGATAGTCCCATACTTTGCCCATGCAATCAGCCAACTACATGCAAGCATGGTTGATCCATGCTTCTTTTTTTGACAGAAAAATCCAGTGCAGCATCCAAACTTAAAATTCTTCATCATGGGCACCCTCCAATAATTTGGCCCCAGATCTGAGCAACACAGGTTAGGGACTAAAGCGGCTCACAACTGGTTGGTGTGAGACACGACAGAGCAAAAAGCCTGTGGTTTGTATCCAGCTATATAGATATGGCCTTGTTGAAGTAATGATCTTATTCTTTTTGGAATGTGCCTGCCCAAAATTGTACGGAAGATCCACCAATTCTGGTTCTTTACCTTTCTTGCAAAACCAGCCTGACACTAAACCAGAGAGTCACAGGAGATACCTGTTACAGGCACCCATGTCTTGCATCCTGCTTGGGTTATGAATTCACAAGTCCTGAAGGGTACAGAGACAAGATCTATTTCCCAGTAGAAGTATTACAGTAAAGAAGTTTCCTAAGCTGCAGAATTTCTTTGCAGCCCACTAGTAAAGGAACAAAATTTTACATGTAAAAAATAACCTCTGCAGAACTTCTGCAAAGAAAAATAACTTCCTAGGAAACCGTAGGGGCACATTTGTCATTAACTTTACAACATCAGGAGATTACTATACAGATCATATTTCATGCATTCTAACAAATTCTGGTTTTAATAAAAAACAGTGATTCTGTACACATACTCAGTTCAGAGGCTATTTCATTAATTACATGGTTTTCCAAATATTTTAATTGCATTTTTATTGGTAAACAGCAGAAGGTACTGGAAGCATAACTTATTTTATTAAAACCAGGAACAAACCTTGTCACTTTTAATTTAGCTTAAAACCACAAATTATTGACGTTACACTCAAGGGAATGCTCATTAAAGTATTTCTTCACATGACCTACATATATCAGTCTATAATCCGCTTCTTGAAACATAGGCCTTTCATTTTCCTCTGTTACTAATTATTCTCGTTGAAGTACCAAAGCATTTCTTTATTCAGCTACTCCCACTATTGCTTATTGTTTGGAAATTAGTTTTTCATTAGCAAATTTCATAACAGAAGCCCTCCTCCTCTTTTTGTAAATAAAAACCAGACATGTTTATCTTTTCCAGCTCTGATGCTTTAGAATAACAATAATTAAAAAAAGCCATAAAACTGTTAATTGTTGGCAAATTTACAGCATGGGCACATAAAAAAATAACTGACCATGAATGCGGTGTCATCTCCATAAAGCCCTTTGAATGCCAAGGACATTCCAGTAAGGGCATTTTTAGTGGCTCTTCAGAACTTTTAGTTCAGTGCAGAAGGTGCTGAGGGCCTGGAAAACTTACACACTTTAGCTCAGAGGATTTTCCATTCAACAGCAAAGAGTTCTCAAACCTCTTGAATGCCTTTAGACTCATTCTTATCTATGCTGGGAAATTACGGCTTCCCACACATACAGACCTCTCAGCTGAAATTCTTCATTGTTCTGCTACAAAAAGTTTTTTCTTAGTTGTATATACTGTTCTTTTTTGGACTTTCCCTTGAATTTTCTATCAAAAACCTCTTGGAGATGTTTCACAGTAGCTGTCCTTATAATAGGAAATTACTGTACTAGCTGCTTGAAGAGATGTGGGGTTTTGGGAGTTTTTTTGGGGTTTGTTTTGTTTTGTTTTAAATTAAAAAAATATGCCCCAAATTCCTCATTCAAAATCAGTCTTTAGGAATGAACAGGATTGATACTAAAAATCCTGATACTAACTTACCGGCAAATCATGCTCTTCTGTCCTTACTAATTGGCTGAAGATAATGCCAAATGTCAAGACAGCTTAAAAAAAACATTGAGGAAAGAGGGTTTGGAAAGGACTTGTAACCCAAGCAGGGTGTAGCTAACTTCAAGGGTAATTTGTTTGCTTGGACAAGATGGAAAATGTTAGCATTTTCCGTATCTATGCGAATTTATTAAAGCCAAGTCTAACCTATTTATTCACTGTCCTGCTTAGTCTTGTATTTTGTCACTTTGGGTGTTTACTAATTACAGGAGTTAGAGAAATCATCAGTCAGAAGCTGTTCTGCTTCCATTTTTACTTAATCATGGTTTAATTACATTTTTTTAAAAAGCAAAATACATGATACATAGGCAGAGGCACCAGAAGACCTTGTATTCTGTAATTTACATCAAATTATGAACTTCTGTGCTTTTAGCAACAATCCACTGGGGGGGGGGAAGCTCCTGATTATTTTAGTGCTAGAGAACAACTGTAGTTTAGCAGGTTGCACTTTTTTGCCTCAATGCCAGCACTGCAGACAATGTTGCATACTCACGTCTTGCCATCTGGTCTCATCCTCTTTCAGCTGGTTGTGTACGTTCTGCAGTTTCTCATGGCGAGCTTTGCTATGAGGCTGAGTCACAGCTTCTTCTTCACATCTCATGTCAAACATGCTCATGCTCCTAAACAAGGGGGAAATAAGTAGTAGTGCAGCGTTATTTAGAGGCTTGTATTTCTTCAGGTTGTTAGAGCTAAAGCCACATGAGGGTGCTACAGCAGAATCAGACACCTGCACCGTTATGAAGCTCCCAAAAGCAGCGGTCCCCTAGAAGGACCAGTTAGCATCCCTATGGCTCCCCACACAGTACTTCAGGCACTGTACTCCTCAACTTTCTCTTGTTTTTGTTAGTTGACTGCAACTTTGCCTCTCACTAAGAGGCATTACTAACATTACAACTCCATCAATAGCTCTTATTGAAATCATTCTATTCAGAGCAGAGTTCAGAACATTTTACTTTCTGAAGATTTGTTTCCCAGTGAGTTTTCAAGACCCCTCCAATTAACACCGCAGACAGAAGTTTCCATTTCAGTGTAAAACAAGAGAGGCTTGAGAAGTATATTAGGGGCAGCATGGCTGGCTAAATGCTATTGCTACAAAACCAGGGAGAGCCTGCCCAGAGAAGTACACGCAGTGCAAACAGCATGGTACTTCCTCCTCTCCCTCCCTGCCTCCAAGAAACTCAGTGCTATCAGCACCGACTTATTAATACAGCTAACCTAACAAGGAAAAGCTGACGTTAAGGACAAAACAGTTTCTTTCTACACATTCTATTTCTGTCCCTGACCTTTGGAGAGTTAAAGGGAAAAAAGGTCATGGTTTGATATTATACATCTATTCATATTATATAAAGACCTTCACATGAAGATAACGTACTTACTACTCCCCCCCTACTACCTATTATTAGTAAAACATGACGTCAGTTGTGCCATTAAAAGCAAAAAAAAAAAAAAAAAAAAAAAGCCATGCAGTTCCACATGAAGTGATTTCACAGCAGTCTTCAAATGGTCATCTGGAGCTTTAGGTGAGCCAACAAGCCAACTAGCAGGAGAAGCACCCAAGGAGGATAAAATTGCAGGTGACTGCATCCACAGTAATCAAAGTGAGTAGACATGGAAAGCTGTGCATATATCTATTTAGCCAACACTTGTATTCAGGCAAGCAAAGATGAAAACAAACCACTCTCAAGGGAAAACTGAAACGTCTGGGCAGCGGATGAAAAAGGACATGCACAGATCCCATCCTGTTAGTAAGTATTTACTCAGAACCGAAGGACAGAATACACATCCTATTGCCTTTAAGCATGAACAGTGAGGTTAGCATATTACCGTGCCTCACCCCTTAAACAGAGTGCTGAGGGGTACGCTACTTTGGGTTTCTCTGTGGGTAGTTTAAGGGTTGCACTGCTCAGGATTAGATTGGAGCCCTCCTAAATCACAGAACCTAAAGAGATGGCAAGTTTTGTTGTTTTTAAAACTAAAGGCATATAATCTGCTATGGAATATTCAAGTATCAGTCATACTTTGCAGACTGGTGAGGTAGGCTGGGAGATGCATAACTTGTAATAAAGCCACCTTAAAGGGTTTATTTCAGTTTAAGAGCTTTTGCAACTCACACTAAGAAAAGCCTTTAGCGTTAAGTATTTGCCACCTTGTGCCTACTGGGTCAAACTGGTTGTGTAGCTCCTTTCTTGTACCCTTCCCTCATGCCAGAGAATTTTTCATTCACATACAGTAGAAGAAAACAGAAGACCTGAAATGGTGGTACCTGGTTCTAGTAGAGTGCACGAGTACTCACCCTCTGCCATTTGGGATAGGAAAATAAAAATACTTTCTACCAAGAGTCCCCTGATGTCCTGATGAAAGGCTAGTATTTATTCCCTGCTTTCACTTGGGTCTCTCAGGGTGCGCAGAGACAACAAAACCAAAGGTTTTATGGCTATTAACAAAGCAATAAAAAAGGTACTCTAGCAAAGGCTTCAGCCTAGGCCAGGAACCAAACTATACACTACAACCCCACGTGTGCCTTCTACTCTAGTTGTCACCTCCTGTGCTGGGCCTTCACTGCCATGGATAAGCAACCAGGTAGGTTCAAACATCAACTCTGCAGCAACACGTTGTTGCACAAACCTATCTTCCCAAGAGAGCAATCTGAAGGAGTCACATCTCAAAGCACTGTGCTCTGCTCTGACCAACATGTAGTTGGTCTCTCATTAAGGAGAACCATGTACTTTCCTGAATACATTGACAAGGCCAAATGAAAGGTCTACTTTGACTTCTCTGCCTGACAAGTTCATCCTTAGAAAAGAATCACAGAGGCCAAAACTCTGAGCTTCTGCCAAAAGACACTTTCACTGTGAGTCCCACATCATTTCGTCTTATTTCTTTCTTATATAAACTACATATGGCTCCAGCCCATCACTAGCACCTGCATGAACAGAACTACTCCTTCCTTCAACCATGTGCTGGGCCAGCAGGCACACAGCATGCAAGTAGATGGAGGAGATGTAACTCTACTGAATTGAATTCATGTTCATGATTTTTCTGCCATTAGCAAAGCTCTGGGGATTGTATCCAAACTCTGTCTGGCAGCAAGAAAGGCCTTTCTGCTGACCACTGTACCAGACCCGCTGTTCCAACGAAGACCTGGGAAAAACCACTGTGCAGACCAACAGTGTATTTTGGAGGGCCTGATCTTTGGGATGAGTTACGCTACTTTATTCTCACAAATTACAGTCGTTCTTGTCAGTGATATCATGCAGCAATTCTTTTTTTTTTTTTAAACAGGCCTGAACAAGTGTTGGATAAAAAAAGTCCTCAAGGATTTGAGTGTTCAGACTATTTAATTTGAAAGTGAGAAATAAGGTAATAAACTTCTTTTTATGAGAATATGTTAAAAATCCTTATGCAAGGCATTTATTATGTGGCTGCATTACCATTTTACAGGCATACTAAGACTTAAGAAACCCCAACAAAACATAAAAAGTGACAGGCTGGCTAAAGAATCAGACTCTAGTAAACAAATACTCAAAAATCTCAGCTCACTATTATTTGCTTGTCAGGCCTAAAGTATAAAGCATAAGCCTAAACTCACACTGGACTGTCACACTACCACCAGAATTCAGCCCCATCTCTTTGGGAGATGGGAATGGGGCTGATCAGCAGCAACACACGAAGCACTGCCTTTTCTGGATCTTGAGACAGACCAGGGTTGATGACAGTATCTAGCGTTCACTAACCACTGAAGGGAACTTTGTCACTCTAATAAAGGAGTTTCTAGTTTTGCTGCTGGAATAAACAGCATCTACTCTAAGACTGAATTCAAGTTACAGAGTTTTTAAAGGAGACTTGACAAACATTTTGGAAGCATTTTAAATGTCAGTTCAATTTATTTTTCCTACTTGAGAGCCAAATTATTAGATTCTTCATAAGTACTTCAGTCTTCAGAAGGAAAAACCACAATCTTATGTTTATAAGAACTTAAAAGACAGTTTAGGAAAATAGTTGCTCAAACTGTGGCACATCTGGAAAGGATGACAATGAGGCTTAAACATTTATTGTTTTGCCTTTTAAACCAAAATCAGAATCAATGTGGAATAAACAACATGATTTATTAATTTTTGCTACTCTCATATTATACAACCAAAGGCATTGCAATGCCTCTTTGAAGGCATCTCCATGTACCTTCTCTCATGTTTGCATTTAATAGAGACATGCAAAAATGCGGGAAAACACAAATGAACCAATCAATCAGATAGGTACGCTTTCTGAAATGGCAGGGAAGTCTCCATTGTTACATATAACACCCCTGTGTTGTTATGCTCTTTTTATCTCATCTCTTCACTTGATTGAAGAGATTTCTGCTGCCTGAAAATGACTGCGTTTACTCTGTGGTCAGGCTTTGCTCAGCATTAAGGTATTACAGATCTCGTAAAGAATATTCAGTCCACGATTCTAGCCTTTATCATTAGAGAAAAGGGTGAAAAATTATATATGAGTCTCTGTATATAGTTGTTACAAAAAAACCCTTCATGCTGTTTCTAGTTTGTGATTTAATCTGGGCGACAGAGAAGGTCATGCGCATTTCTCTGAACAGAAGGATATTAAGGACATTATTATGTGGGTAGTTCCCAACTATTTCTTTGCTTTTAAATGCCTGCACTTTGTAAGAATAGCTAATACTTTCACAGAGCTTTCTAAATGACATTGCATACTATTCTGATCTACAGTTTACATGCATACACACACAATTAAAATATGTTTGAGTGCAATAAATGTCACAGTCCTACTCCTTCTGCCAGAAGTAAAGCATCGAAGTGAAGAGCTTAAAAAAATGAAGTTTAGTAACCTTATTAAATTAAATCCAACCTGGAAGGAATTCAAGAATAAGTTTTTAAAAGTCAATAAAGGAATAGCTGAAGATATATTTTCCTGGTAATTATTCTAAAGATCACAATGGATTTTATTTTACTTTGGGATTTCTGTTTTCTTCCTGTATAGGTCATACTTCATTTTTTTGCTCAACACCCAGCCCAGATTCAAACCAACTCACTTTACCTGTAGCTGATTAGAGGCAATGGAAATTCAGAAGAAAAAGAAAAAGAAAAAGAAAAAGAAAAAGAAAAAGAAAAAGAAAAAGAAAAAGAAAAAGAAAAAGAAAAAGAAAGAAAAGGAAAGAAAAAGAAAGGAAAGGAAAGGAAAGGAAAGGAAAGGAAAGGAAAGGAAAGGAAAGGAAAGGAAAGGAAAGGAAAGGAAAGGAAAGGAAAGGAAAGGAAAGGAAAGGAAAGGAAAGGAAAGGAATGGAAAGAAAAAAAAAGGAAAGGAAAGGAAAGGAAAGGAAAGGAAAGGAAAGGAAAGGAAAGGAAAGGAAAGGAAAGGAAAGGAAAGGAAAGGAAAGGAAAGGAAAGGAAAGGGAAAAGAAAAAGATACTTTAAGCAACAGCTGGACATTAGTGTTATGCTCAGTTTTTATGGGCTTTTATATAAAAATTATTTTTAGCTGCAATGTAAGCCATAGTGCATTCCATTTTTCAGTGCTTTTCTGAAAAATTTATTTGCTGGAACACTGCAAAATAATAATGAGGCATCAACTGCATTTTAAATTAGTAGAAAGACGGGAAAGCATGCAGTGTAAGTTGTTTAAAATAGAATCTTGTGAACACAAGACAACTTACTCTGCGTCATCAGACACAGCAGTTCTGGGGCCGAATCTACAAGACCAAATATAATATTAGAGTGTTGATAAATACATTAAGTAGTAATTGCAACTGGACCCATACCATTTGGGTAACTGTCACTTGACCATCCAACCTGTACTAGTAAAGCTGACCAAAAAAGAACCATACTGTTCAGGGATTATGTATTCAGCAAACAAGACTTACCTAACCATCCGGAGGTCAAACTACGTAAGACCACCACCCATCCCTCCCTGACCATATACTAATGCCCCCATTATAAAAATCTGCTGAAGTATACCTAAAATGGGTGTAGAAAATAGTTATTGAAAATAGACAATATATTAACATTTACATTAAGTGCCACACATGCGATGAATGGAGACAAAACTTAACAGTTACATTCCACAGCAGTGCTCAGAATCACCATTACTGAAGCACGGAAGAGACAAATATTATAGGCAGAAAGTGAGTCACAGGATTTCCTTTGGGGTCTTTTTTTTGGGGTGGGGGTAGCTGAAAAAAGGTACCGGTAATACACAAGTCAGTGTCATTCACTAAAGTAACAGTCTTGTTTAGAGCCATGCAAACCACATATTTGTATCTGGGATTTATCATAAATGAACATCAAGTACAAAAGTCGACACTGCAACATTTTCTAATCATGGAGAAGCAAGATACACATCTCTAAAAGAGCAGAGTCCAGTTGAACCTCTGCTATTCATAAACCTTTTTTGCAACTCAACAATATACTGTAATCAAATATTTCCTTTCAATTAGCTTTCATTTCAATATTTCAAAAGAAAATACATCACACAACTATTCCGTTTGTTTCTAAAAAGTGTATTACGGACATACAGTACTTTAGTCTGGACTGAAAACACACCAGGCAATGCACAATCTGAATTTTGAAGTGTGCACACAGGGGCATACAAGCTGCGTGATTCACACCATAGAGAGCTCACGTTTGCAGATGCTCATCCTTGGATGACAATGTTTCCGCTTTGTTTTCCTCAGGAACCTCCTGAAGCTTAGGTGTTTGACCAAGGTGGACTTCATTAAGGGTACCTTCACCCACTTGGGCAGTACAAATAGTATCATCTTGTCCTGCAGGAGGGAGATTGCATTTTTCCTGCCCTTGCTGTTGTTCTTGCGGTGGTTGTATTACAGCTTTTCCAGAGCTATTAATGCAGACTTGTGGACATTTTTCAGGCCTGAGTGAGCCAAACGCAGCAGCGCAAAGAGACATATTAAGCAACGTTTGAAAAATCACATATACATAATGAAAAGTGTAACTGCAAGTTAACAACCCCCCACCCCCCCCCCCCCCCAAAACCCCCACAGCCCCAACACAGATAGCCGACAGGTAACACGCTAAGTGAGGCAGGTGCACGAAACAACTTTAATAGAGAGTCAAATGCTTGTACTTCTATTCCTCTAAGTCAGAAACACAAACTGTCCTAGACACTGCCAAAGTATTAAGTACATATTTTAACTAAGCTATTCAACTTAAGGTCTTCTCAACACCAAACCACTGTTCAATTCTATGGTAGATGGCAGTTTTTCTTCTCCTGGCTGAGCTGTACACCAGTTTTTCCTCTGTGCATGCACAGGCGCAATGCACATCCTTCTCCTCATGTGCTTTGAAGAGGCTGATGAAAAAGAACCTTTCCACTCCTGCTTGCATGTGGCTCAACCAGCCAACGATAACTCTGTTCAAAGGCTTAAACCACCAACTTCCCCACATAGCCTCATGCATCTGAACAAAGGTGCTTAGAAAGACACCGAGCATTATCAGGAGGGATCTCAGGATCTCTAGATTTCCTGTTTGGAAGTCACTGGCACCAGCTAAGCCACAGACAAGCATCTAACCTACCATATCCAGCACCTCTATTTCTAGCTGGAACCATCTGTAATGATCAGCTCGTATTTAACCAGAAAGCTCTGCAAATGTAACACAATCTTGCTATGCATATCCATTTCCACACACTGTTAGAAATTTGCAGCTGTAGAGCTCTGCTCTGAGTCTTTACAGCACTCTACCAAAAGGGCCAGAAACCCTACACTGCCTTCTTTTGAGCAGAAAGAGTTGGCACAGAATCAAGGACAAGTACGGAAGAAACTGCTGCTGGGCCAAAAGCAACTCTTCCAGATCAAGAGATCTTAACAAACAGCCCACAGGGCCAGTTGCAAGGGAAAGATGAAAGAGAAGCACAACTTTCTTACCTCGTAGTTTTCTTCTCAGGTTCTCTAGCTGTGCCCTGCTTATTCTGCTGCTTTGAAAATGGCATGGGAAGGAACTGCTTAACACTGGGCCCAGGCTGTTTTAGGAAAGCTCCAGTTCTTCTGGCCAACATGTCATCCCTTTGTGGGTCTGGAAATTTCACTTTGTTTTCTGTTCCACTGCTCTGCTGCTGAGGAATTTCAAGCTGTTCTTGGCTCTCTTCTCGTGTGACAGTACTGCTCAGAGAGACAAGTGACACCGTTCCATGATAACGCTCGCTTGTGCAACCCAAAGGCAAGCAGCTGCTGAGGCAACGTGGGGTACTGTTACTCAAAACACAGTTGCAGAGTGATGGACAACTAGACATCTCTAGCTACAGTGCGGGGAGTGAGAGCAAGAAGAGCAATGTTGAATGCCACACTTATGTAGGTGATACGTTAGAAGTTGGGGATTGCATAAAAATGTATGCGAGGAATTATTCACTTGGAAGCTAGCACAAAAGTCTGGACAAAGCACCACGGATTGCAAAAGAAATCCCCCCAAAAGATGAAAGACTGTTTCCATGCTGAACAGCAATTAACAACTGAAATACTTAAATATTATTAAAGAAAACAGACTGTTCTATGTTCATAGGATACATTCTTGTAAGTAATTTCATAAAACAGAAGACATGCCATGATGAATGAGTAAAACACATCTTTAAAGGCCACGTGAAGAATGGAACAACATTGCTGACTGATCCAAGCTAACACCACACACAAACCAGGCATGAGGCTCAGGGGGATATGTTTCTGTTCTCTGACCTTTCTGCTTCCCGTGGAGTCTTCAAATCCTTCTCACGAGCTACTGCCTCCCCTTGCCGCTGCTGCAGCAGATGAGGAGCTACTGACAGGGGAGGACAATGTATGGGAACGGGGCTAGTGGTACGCTTCTGAAAAGTTCCCATCCTTCTAACCAACATATCATCTCTCTCAATGTCTGGTAAATGCCCAAAGCACTCTTCCTCGGTGCTTTCTTGCCGCTTGTTCATATCGCACAGGGTTTGTTTCTCAGAGACGATGCCAAAAGCTGGGACAGGTGACAGCATTCTCCTGCAAGAGTCATCTGTACCTGACTTGGCTACCTCACTAGTGATGTGATCGAGAGGAGGGGTGAGATAGACAAAACATTCTCAGGTCAAGTGAAAGGTAAGAAAAGGAGTCCTCCAAGTCAGTTTGCAAATGTTTTATAAACACACAAACTTAACTGAATGAATTGCTTGCTAAAAGCATTCATTAAAAATTCTTGCTACAGCCACAGACTAAGAGATTAAAGAAAAGCCAAGTAAATGTAAGCTCTGTTAATATGTTAACTTCCCAGAGCTGTAAATTCTCCTCCAGATAAATGCCAGAAACACAGAGCACCGATACACCTTGGCTTCAGCACTACATCTTCAAAAAGAAAGTAAATCCATTAGGTTTGAAGAAAGCATTTTTTGAACATCAGTAAGGCCAGCAAGCTGAAGGACAAATTCCTACAGTGCTGAAAGCAGGCAAAGCAAAGCCACTGGAATTCAAGAAGCAGAGAAAGCTTGAACGACAGCTCAGACTCTGAGATACCGGTGATTTCACGGCTCATCAGAAATTCTGAGGCAAGCTCTCGGTAGACCTTTGCACAGCGTTGTTTTGCATAACCCTAAACATGTTAAGATACCGTGAAGGTGTCAGATGACTTCTGAACAAGGCCGTGCGCGTAAACAGCTCTTAGGTCTATGCTGCAGTCCACCCCCATGCAGATCAGCATCTGGCAAGAACAGGTCTCATTTCCAGCTCAGCAGCGCTTCCTAAGCCACACCAAATACCTGGACCCATTCTGTGGCTTAGATACTTCATCGCTGTGTTCAGCAAACCTGAGACTGCCAGCAGTGGTTGAAGGAGAGCTTTCAACACCAGAGTGACTCTCCACACCGTCTTTCTTGCTTTTCTCTTCTGTTCCACTCTTGGATGAAGCTCTGCCAATAACAAGCTTGTCCCATTTCTGTTGATCAATCTCAGTTACTGGCCCAAAACGCACAAACTTCTGCTTGGGGTTGCCAGCCTTTTTGTTTGCTCTGGCTTTGCGGACAGCAAAATCATCATGGGCTGCTGCTTTCACTGTGATTTCAGCTGGTGGCAGAGTGTCACTGGGACACGTGAAATCTTCTTCACTAGTATGAATGAGGAACAAAAGAATTGCCCCCAAATGAGACCCCAGAATAAAGCAAATTAAATGCTCCTAAGGTTTTGGAGGGTTTTTATTTTAAAATTCAAGGACACAGGTACAAAAAGATGTGGTATACCAAGGCCCAAATGGCAGATAAAATCTGAAAATACGGCAGACCTGTTGGGGAAACTCTGGGAGCACATCCATGGAAGCCCTTCCTTAGGGGAAGGAACGTAGCATACGGCCCATTCCAGGCTCAGTTCTTCACCCTAACACAGCCATAGTTCCCTTATCTGCTCACACATACCTGGGCCGTGCGTTGCATGGAACTGCGCAAGCACCAGCACACCCACCTTCTCACAGGGCAGTTCCAGTGGTGTGAAAGCACCAGAAAGGGCAATTCACTTATCCTGAACCACCGGGACTGAATCTTGATTTTAATAAATCACCTCAAAAGTAATGGAGAGAGTACTAATATCTTTGAGACGAAAAATGATTGAGTTTTGATGGTTTGTATTAGAGCTAAAATTACACACAGCGACCACATTGTTAGAAGAATGCCTGAACAGATGGCCACGTTTAATTGGAAAACGGCATGCGTGTAAACAGGAAGGCTAGGAGTTGTTATCCT